GATCAGATCGCCCTGGATGTCAAACAAACCGCCCTCAAGCACGCACGAGGCATCCTCAAAATCTGCTCCGAAAACGGAGGATGTTGGGGACCAAAACAGGCAAACCGCCTGAGACATCCCCACCATTTGGGCGCGAACGGAGGCCGTGCAATACCCCTGGCGGCCTCCCCTTAGGAGTGCTAAAACCAGCAAGCCGCCCATCGTATCTAGCTAGGTTTCCCGAAATTGAGCCCTTTCCCACCCAAAAGTTCTACAGGCTAAAGCAAGCCAGACCGCCCACAAGTAGACCAGACCCGCCCCTAATCAAGACCACCCAAAAAGAGGCCCGACCCCCCAAAATAAGGCAGACCACCCGTCGAAGCAAGCAAGGGAGCCTCGGGGGCCATCTAGGAGGTGATCAATCAAAGAAGGGGGATACTCAAGTAGGGTCCCCCCCCAGGAGACCAGCATTGGCCCAAGATCTTGATACAATTTATGATTTTGGCTTTCTCCCCGCGGCCATCTTGAACGCTCAAACGACCCGCGGGGCGTTCCGTCCAGGTCCAGGGGGAGAGGGTAGGAGGGGGAGTCAAGACACCCTCCCCGCCCGCAAGCCGTCTCGCTCACTCCCACGCGCCCTTCCAACACATGACTAGCACCCGAACCGCGGCATGGTCAGCGGTCGTCTTTGGATGGGCAGCTACTTGGGAACCAGAACAGATCCCATGTGCGCGACGCTGGGCGAGGTGCGCCACGCGTGCCAGGCGCGCCACGTTCGCCAGGTACTCCAGGCACCTCTGGGGCCCAATCGGGCCAGGCACGCCTGGTGCGCCAGATGCGCCACGTGCTCCGCGTGCGCCAGGTGTACCGCATGCTCCAGCCGCGCCAGATGCGCCACGTTCGCGGCGCGCGCAGAGTGTGCCAGGTCCGCCCGCGCACGTGACAGCACACATCGGGACACACGGCGGCCCCCACCATCCTTGTCGAAAACCAACGCGCAATCGCGGCAGGGTGGCTATCATGGTGTCTTGTGGGCCTGCAAACAGCAGGCAATATGCCAGCACCCCCGCCGTGCCGGTCAAAAACCAACGCAAAGTGATCGCGGGGTGCCCGCGCATGATCCAGATTTTGCTGCGAGGTGCGCTTTGTATAGCATGCATTGTGCTCCCCCCAACCCCGTCCCTGTCAAAATACAGTTCAAAGTGCGCGCAAGATTTTGCACCCAAATGTATTTTACATGGTCTTTGACAGGGGCGAAAGGGGGTGGGTGGCATGAGTCCTGGACGGCTGCCGGTCGCCTGGGAAAGGGGGTGTTCATAAATAGGGAGCAGTGGTAAACCTTTCTCTGAAGGGGAAGAAGGGGGGGTTAGACGAGGAACGGCCCTAAACGGCCCACGCCTTAAAAGGCTGGTGGGATTCTGAAGCTGGCGGCACCAATGAACATGATCTGCAGGCCTCCTCGGTATTACAATGTGGTCTAGCACTTTGGGTGCATTCGTCGCTCCAACGTAAGTGTCTCGTGCTGGCCATTCTGTATTGACAAACTCTACTATATGAGCTTATCAAGCAGGTATAACTTTCTCTGTAGCAAGATGCATTGACCCAGCTCCATGACGGTTTGATGTGTTATGTAGGCGCTCAAATTGGTCATTCGCGTCGGACATCAAGATGGGGTTCTAGCGCGCCGAGGCTGATGCCAAAGCCAAGACGATCCATGCAGTCATATTTTCTAATGTGGGAACCCAATGGAGCTTCATCACGGTGAGGCACAGGCGGATAGTAGAGAAGGCACATTGCCAATCTCATGCCCTCCCTCTCCAGTCGAACACTAGCCACGCATCCCTGAAGCCCTCGAGGTTACTGGACGAAGCTGCGGATCTGCCTGGGGAAGAACAGCCGTCGCTTGACCCTTAACGCCAGTTCACGACTGCAATTGGTATGCTGCCCTCGACCCCATCCCCCCTCAAGAGATTAATGCTGATCACTGCATCTGGGTTCACGTTCGCGTTTAGCTGCTCGCTGTTGTGTTTGTATCAAGCCTATGATGTTACGGTTGCGTAGCTCTGCTACAACATCTCGGCTTCGCGAAGCATTTGCCGACTGCGGGTTGTACTGAATTATTGTACTGCCACTGTGGGCGTCCGATGCTCAACTCATCTGGAGGTGGCATCATGGTATGTCATGCTACAGAATGATGCTCGGAAGGCCGCGCGCGCAGGGGGAGCCCCCACCCCCCTCCCATGTTCGGGAGGAGTATGGCGGCCATTGCTCCTCCTCCTCCTCCTCCTTCTCCTCGTGGAGCTTGCCTGTGAGTACTGCGGTGAGTGCGATTCTGTTTGCCATCGGCTGTTCTCATGTTGTCGCACGGCGGAGCTCAGGGCAAGCATGCTCACCCAAGAAGATTTGGCAATTCTGGAAGATCCTGCTCGGAACTGGTGTTTCCTCGGCGATTTCCAGGCAGTCCTGGATTTTGTTGCCCAAGGGCCAGACGGCTTTGGACATGACGCCCCCGTGTTCTGGTCCGCCGTCGAAGGGCCGGTCGACGAGATCGTGTCGGGGGTTCTTTCTGGAGATGGTAGCTGGCTCGAACGAGGGCCTGCCCAACTTCACCGCCCTGGTTGGGGAGCCGCCAAGATCGACGAGAACGGCAATCTTGTAGCTAGTTTAAGTGGCCTTGTGGGCTCCTACATTAAGCACACGTTCCCAGCAGTTGAGCACGTAAGTCCACGTGAAAATGTCATGCACTGCCCTGGCTACGGACAGTCACACGGATTGCCATAATTTTGTGGGAGTGCAGTCGGAACCAGCCCATTCAGTCTGCTACAGAGGCAATCTATTTTCTGATGTGAAGTATTTGGTCCGGGGGGTCAGCCTGGACTTCGGCAGTGAGGGTCTTGAAGGTCAAGGCCCACCAGAATGTGGACGACCTGGAATCAGGCTCTGATTGTAGATTGTAGCGCTAGGTAATGATCAGGCTGGTAGGGTTGCACAGGCCGCTGCGAATTCGCTTCCTCAGCTCTCCCTCAGGGAGTGCGAGGTTGTAGAGGAAGACGACAATCTGTCAGAACAGTATCTCAGATTTGTGTCGTCAGCTGTGGCGCTCTGGCCTCCACTCAGAGAGGGCGCAGAAGACGTGCGTTTGTCCAAATTCGTTCCCCCCTGCCCTCTCTTCGCGTGGGGAGTGATACTGCTGCCGCACTCCGCGAGGGTAGGGGAGGAAACGCTCCAAGGACAGCGGCGGCTGCGGCTACAGTGCCCCGCCGTACCTAGGGCGATCAAATTTTGCCTCCTCCCTCCGCCCCTCCCTCCGCCCCCCCAGTCCTCCACGACTGGTTCTGGCATCGCAATGCCTGGCACTGTAGACTATGTGTGCGCAGATTTCGTGCGGACCCAGCGGTCCAGCTCCCAGGGCCGAACCGCGCACGCCAATCTAGTATAGCTGTTCTGCCAGCAGGCGCGTGCACATGCGAGAACCGTCGCCTCGAGGCTGTTCTCTCCAACCCTCAGGTTCACGGCCTTCACATCACGTCTTACCCGCAAGATATCCTTGCCATTTGTCTAAGGTGCGGATGTTTCATGGAAGGTAGATCCGCGGCTGACCTAGGTAAGGTCAGTCACAGAATTCCAACCTCCGCTCACGCCGCACCTACTCTCAATCGGATGCGAAAGCTGCAGCACCCCAGCCGCAAGAAGCACTGCTCAGGTAAGATCTTGGAGCCGCTTGTGCCTGTGGCTGACCTTGTTCTTTGCATGCTAACGCAGGACAGCCCAGAGAGGGGTATGCCACTCCTTTGTGCCGTCCCGTGTCCCAGCTCCGGGTTCCCCCAGTCGCGCCTCAACCGGCCCACCTGGGGTGCGTGCCGGCGTGTCGCCAACCACCGTGTTAGGCATGCGGCCTCGACTGATCGAGTCATGGTTTGTCGAATTCGGGGCATTCGTGATACGGGGGAGGCGCGATCTGGCCGCCCCACTGCGCCCCCCAATGGGGGCCCCACGCCCGGGGGGACAGGGAACGGGTCCCCCCTCCTCTCCACCTCCTTTTGATGCCTTGGCGGGGCCCGCAGCGCCGCCAGTGAGATGCTGAACGCTTCGCCGGCGAGGCGCGTTTGGCTTTTCGCTCACTCCCTCGGGGGCCCCTGTGGCCCTTCTCGGGGCCCTTTTTGTGGCTCTCCTTGGAAGAGGAGGAGGAGGAGGAGGAGGAGGAGGAGGAGGAGGAGGAGGAGGAGGAGGAGGAGGAGGAGGAGGAGGAGGAGGAGGGGAGGAGGAGGAGGAGGAGGGAGGAGGAGGAGGAGGAGGAGGAGGAGGAGGAGGAGGAGGAGGAGGAGGAGGAGGAGGAGGAGGAGGAGGAGGAGGAGGAGGAGGAGGAGGAGGGGGGGAGGAGGCGGAGGAGGAGGAGGCGGAGGAGGAGGAGGAGGGAGGAGGAGGAGGAGGAGGAGGAGGAGGAGGAGGAGGAGGAGGAGGAGGAGAGGGAGGAGGAGGAGGAGGAGGAGGAGGAGGCGGAGGAGGAGGAGGAGGAGGAGGAGGAGGAGGAGGAGGAGGAGGAGGAGGAGGAGGAGGAGGAGGAGGAGGAGGAGGAGGAGGAGGAGGAGGAGGAGGAGGGAGCAGGAGGAGGGGAGAGGAGGAGGAGGAGGAGGAGGAGGAGGAGGAGGAGGAGGAGGAGGAGGAGGAGGAGGAGGAGGAGGAGGAGGAGGAGGAGGAGGAGGAGGAGGAGGAGAGGGAGGAGGAGGAGAGGGAGGAGGAGCTGGACCCTCTTGGGCTGTCCTCTCCCTGCTGGCTCCTCCTCTCCTGCCTCCCCTTCTTCGGTGTGGGGGGGGGCGGCCCTTCGCCTTCCTCGGGTCTGTGGCCCCCCTCGCGGGGGTGGGGGGAGCCGGCGTCCGAGGCAGCGGCCTCCGAACCCAATCATTGCTGCTTTCCATCTGATGGGTGCGCGTCCTCCTCCTCCTCTGACGATGCCCTGCTGGGGGGGTCCGGGGGGGGCTCCTCGTCTTCTTTTTACCTTTCCGCCTCTTGCGCGCCCACAGGTGCGGCGGCACGTTCGCCATCAACCCCTACGACGCGACCCTGGGCCGGTATGCCTGCCAGGCCTGCTTTCTGCACGCCAGGGAGGCCACTTTGGAGAGGAGGCGCGGGTGCGCGGGTGTGGCACTGCAGCTGGCTTGAAGCTTGGGTGGAGGAGGGGGGGGAAGGAGGAGGGGAAGGATGGGAGAAGGAGGCGGCGGTCCCGAGCATCGGGAGGTCCCAAGCATAGGGTGGTACAGGGAGGTCCCAAGCATCTCCTGAAACAGGGGACGAGGTAATTAGGAGGGACGGTCGCTGGGGGCAGCGGCGCCAGTGAGCGGGTGTTGGTCACATCGGCGGGCCTGGGTGGAGGATGATGGGGGCACGAGGGGAAATGAGGAGCGGGAGAGGCGAGGTCGGAGGGAGTAGGGAGGTGGAAGTGGCAGAGATCGAGGCCAGAGGAAGGCACGGGTCGACGCAGCGAGTAAAGAACTCCGCTCCTGGCAGGCCTTTGGGGGCCTCTTGGGGGGAATGTTTGGGGCCTGCTGGCGGTCTCGGAAGCCATTTTTGGGGGAGCTCCGAGGGCCCCTTCGGGCTTCCCCTCGTGGGGCCCTCTTGGGGCCGTCTCGGGGGCCTCTGAGGCACCTCTCGGGGCCTCCGGAGCCGCCTCGGAGCGATCCAGGGGTCCTTCGGGCTGTTATGGACATTTGTAAGACTGAAAGGAATGGTCATGTTAGTAATGTTTCGGTCGGGAACGTTTGCTTAGCGTGTCGCACCGCCGATTCTGGCCCACTGCGCTTCGGCGCGACACGCTAACCACGTCCGAGTCTCCAGGCGTCAACGTCCCCAGCTTTTCCCTGCCTCCAGCCCCGCGGGACGGAGCGACAAGCTGTCAGCTTGCAAGGTATAGCGTGTCGCAGGGGCCGCCGCAACACGCTAAGCAAAAGTTCCAGATTGTAAGTTTACATAGAAAACGAAGGGTTTCGGCGACCGTGACCTCTTGGGCCGACTCCCAGATCACACAACACATCTCAAAAGCGTTGCCTCTCAAGCACGGGTGGCCCAAGGCATTGTACCCTTTTGTGCTCGAAGGGCTCCTCCTTGTCCTCATCCTGTTGGCTCTGCCTCCTTCCTCTTCTCCCTTCCCCTCCTGATGACCGGTGCTTTTTTATTTCTGGCGGTTTAAAGCAACTGGTGCGCGTGACAGCAGTTTTTGGCAATCACCCTACCTACTCTCACTCATCGTCTTCCTTTCCTTCCTTGTCCTCGTCCTCCTTCCTTCTCCTCTTCTCGTTTTTTTTTTTTTTGTTTTACTTCTGGGATGTTGTGGTAATTCAAGCCGCTGGTCAGTCTCTGCCATGCATCGTCAAAGTGTGCATGGGTTACAACGCGTTGTTTGGGCCTCATTGGGCTCATTGGGGGAACGAGAGACCAATCAGCTTGGCTAGGCTACAGCACAAAGAACAACATGGGAACCCACTTTGGCGGGAAACGCAGACTCACGCAAACATGGAGTGGGCTCTTACAGAGCCCTGGAACTACATGGAATGGCTCCTGCGGAGCCTCTGGAACTATCAGACTTGGCCTCTGGGGCCAGTCTGTCATAAGTGGGCACCAGGAAGGTCGGGCTATGAGCGGTGAGTTGCACCCTCATGCCCTCTCTCTCTCTCTCTCTCTCTCTCTTTTTTTGTGTGAAAAAACATGATCGGCGGTTATAGGCATGTTGTGATGGTAAGAATGGGCAAATCCAAGTATAAGGTTACACAGGCGTTTTGTTGTCGTGCATTCTGGTGCACTTTCAATTGATTTTTTTTGGGGGGGGATCGCATGTGTTATATTTCAGTATGCTCTGCCACATGTTTGCACATCGCTTGTTATGCTTGGTTCTTGAAGTAACCAGTGGTCGCATGCACAGTGGCGGCCAGGCTGGGTGCAGGTTTTCATCGTCGAGCGGTGTGTGCGGTCTGCCATCAGCCTCAAGGTTGGGGTCTGGCCTGGTCCCTTCAGCTTCAGTGCAGGTTTTTCCCACCTCCGGAAGGGGAGTGTACTTCTTTTGTCTGTTCCGCGTCCAGTTGGGGCCATGCATCATCAGTTACAGTGCTGGCATCTCCCATATCCGCACGGGGAGGGTATTGCAGTTTTTGTATTCGGTGGTGTTTCGCACTTGGTTTCCATCTGCTTGTTGTCCCTCGTGGCGCTGGGCGTATCAGGAGGCGAGCAGTCATTCCCTTGTGTACTGGTCAATATTTTGTGCAAGTTTTCAGTGCCGTGCGTAGTGCCAAGTCGTACCACCAAGTTTGTGGGATTTGCGCTGCTATGTGGTATGGGAGGTGTTTTTCGCGTTGTGGACGTGGTGCCTCGGTTTCGCACATGCCTAGGCTGTCTGTGTGGGCTTCATCTTTCATCCTGTCGGCTGCGCTTCTCTGGCATAATTCATTTTACGTGGATTTCTTTGGCCCGCCTGAGCTTTACACAGTGTTTTCGGCGAGGTTTGGTTTCTAATAGGCCGCCCGATTTCATCCAGATTCTGGCGCGTGCTCCGCACCCAGATTTATAGCACTGCTATGTCCCATCCGTGCTCTCTGGACTGCCGAGCGCGTGGGATTAGCCATTGCGAGTATATCAGCTGTTAGCAGGCTGGGATTCGGGAATTATTCCAGCCAGTTGCTGCATGCTGTGCCATATTGTGCCTCCTTGTTTGCGGTGGTGTGATGTCCGATTATATGAATGGCCACTCGGTCAGATGGGGGAGCGCACACGCCACGGTTTAATGCATCCGCATTGGCCCAGATGCTACGTTCTTTTCCCTCGTCCCCCGTTCTCCTGTGCCCCCGTTGTTCTTTCCTTGCCCCTCCCTCTCCTTCTCCTCTTCCTACTTCGTCGCTGACGCCAGAATAGACGTGTGTCCTGCGAACGCGGCTGAATTTTTGTACTGCCTGGGACCGGGCCATTGCTGGTTTTCGGGGCTGGTGTTTGGGCGAGTGTTCTCCTAAGCAGTGGCGGAAATTTGCTCTTGGTGTTAGGACCGTCTGTGCAGTATTCCTCCGTCCCTCCTGCTGCTCATCTTCGTTGTGACCGAGTGTCACGTATTTTGGGCATGGCGAGATGATTCGCATTGCCAGCTGACGTGTGTGTGCTGTGGGAGGTATGTCAGAAGGGAGCGCTGGCGCGGGAACATAAACATCTTTTACGTTCTGTTTGCCATTTTCTTGTGCGGGAAGGTTCCGTGAGACATATGGTTAGACCAATGAGTGTAAGATTTTCATCAAAATTCAAAGTTTCATTGTCTAGCTTGCGGTGTTCTAAAATGTCACGTTCCGCCGTTTGTGGTGGTGGCGGTGTGTGTTGCAATCAAGTGGGCGCTATGGTTTTCACAGAAGTCGGATGCAGTTTTCGTGAAGGTGCCAGGTCAAGCGCTTCGTGTTCCTTGTCTCCCCGCTGGTTTTCAAGGTCAGAGGGGCGTTGCTCGAGTGTATGTTATCGCTTCGCGATGGATGTGATCCCTGGAATCCTTCTCTCAAGATGTTTCCTTCAGAGGGTCTGAGGCCAAGCGCCTAGGACCATTTTGCGGCATGCTGGAGTTTTTGGAATCCGAGCCACGTTGCAGAAGCCTCGGGGAAAGTCCCGTGGAGCACCCTGGGAACGCCCAGTGGCGCTCAAGAGACCTGTGCGTTGGCGGTCTGGCGCCCGAGTAGTATCTACAATATGCAACACCGGGGGATGGTGAGGACCCGAGGGCGCTCTACCGGTGCCGACGGCATGGTGGTCGAACCTCTCGTATCATCACCCTCCGCCGTGCCACAGCTCAAGCTTTAAAATGTACATGCGGATGGATGGGGCGCAGTTTTCATCGTGCTCTCCCTTGGGAACTCCGCCGCCCGCCTGATCGACTCGCCCGCGACGGCGTCGGCAACGTGTCTCGCCCGCCCGCCCGGCGGAGAGACTCGCCCACGACGGCGGCGACGAGGACGACGACGTTGACGGTGACGGCGACTGCCATGGCGACGGCGACGACTCCTGGCGCCGGCAAGCGACGACGTTGCCCTCCTCCCTCCCCCCCTCCCCCCCAGCCGCCGTCCCGGCCCGAGGCTTTTGGGTGCAGGTATACAGGATACCCGCGGAACCTCGCGGGACTCGGCGGCCATACGCGCTCGCCCGCGCCTTCGCTGGTGGCGTGCGGGCCGGCCGTGCTGCTGCGCTGCGGCGTGCGACGCCCCCAGAGTGGGCGGGCGCACGACGGCGCGGGCGCCCGCTTCGCGCAGGGCGCGGCGCCGGCTGCGAGTGCGCGAGCCCGCCTGGCACAGGCGCGCTCGCGAGCGGCGCACGCAGTCGCGCACCTTGCTGCGAGTCGCCGCTGCCGCGGCGAGGCTGCGCGCGCACCACAGCAACGGGCTGATGTCAGGCCGTGCTGGAGGCGGGGGCAAAGGCGGCCAGGGCCGCAAGGGCAGCGGCAAGGGCAGTTCGGGCGGCGGCCACAGCGGGCAGAGTGGCAGCACTCCCCCGTGGGCCGTGCCGCCGCCGCCGCCTGGATGGTGGTGCCCGTCGTGCGGAGGACTCAATGGCCCTGCTGACGCCCTGTGCCGCTCCTGCTTCCCTCTTCCCGAGCATGGACCAATGCATGGAGACGGAGGAGGGACAGCTCGCCCGCGCGCGGGCCCGCGCAGAGACGGCCGCCAGCCTCGTTGTGCCTCGAGGCGTCGCCGCCGCGGCGGCAAGGGCGAGGCACGTCAGCCGGAGGCGGAGCCGAGGCCGCGGTCAGCCTCGCGAGTCCGCTTCGAGGACGAGGGCACTGAGGACGGCGGAGGCGATCCGCGGCCGAGGTCGGCCTCGAGCCGCCGCCGGCGCTCCGCCGACGGCGATGGCCGACGGAGGCGGTCTGCCGGAGGCGAATCAGATGCATCGGATGGCGACGAGGACGGCCGCAGCCCCGCGCTCGGCATCCTCCCCGCGCTGCCGTCGGACGCGCGAGCTCACCCAGCCTGGGTCGAGCCGCCGTCGGATGAGCGCGGGCTCACGGCCCACAGGCGCTCGCTGCGCCAGATGGCGGCCGCCACGGGCAAGAGGCTGCAGGCAGCCATCGAGCT